AGCACTACATTCACTGTGCACAGACCGAGAGTTCACCATCAGCACTACATTCACTGTGCACAGACCGAGAGTTCACCATCAGCACTACATTCACTATGCAGGGAGAGGGAGGTTAATACACCATAATTGGCTAAATGCCATAGTAAAGTACTACTCCAGCAAGAGAGAACACAGTCAATGCAGTACAATCACTGCTTACTTACTGATCAGACACGACAGGACAAGAGCACTGCATTTCACAGTGCTCTGGGTTTCACAGTGCAGTTACCTTGAGATTGGAGGCTAGGCTGATGATGGAGAGGTGCCGGAGTTTGTTCTTCTGGGCAGGAGTTAGCTCAGGAAGCGAGGCTGCGTTCTCTGATAAAGGAGGAGAGGGTGTTTAACACAGACTGGCGCAAACACCCCGCCCCAACACACCTACAAAGTGTACTGCGGACTCTGAGCTGTCAGTGTAACGAGGCGCTAAGATACAGGGACACAGGCGGCGGGGCTGACCTTTATAGTCGCAGTACGTCCCGTAGGCGAAGAGGTTGAGCAGCTGGTAGACTGGGGCATGAGGTCCCGACTCCAGCTGAGAAGACGAGACAGCTTAAATACACGCACCTAGACTGAGGGTCAGTGAGTGAACGTCCTAGGCGGGCAGCTTGGCAGTCATTTGATCAAATTCATCGAGCTCTACTGGCATGACTGATGTCTTACATTGCTGTCCAAGTGTGCACCATCAACATAACATCTACAAGCCATTTACTATCCAAACACATCAGAGGATGTTTACATACAACACATACAATGCCAGTCAATCAGACAGCCAGCCAGTCGTACAGTCAAACAGCCAGACAGCCAGTTAGTTGTACAGTAAGACAGTCAGACAGCCAGACAGTCAACAGCCAGACAGCCAGTTAGTTGTACAGTAAGACAGTCAGACAGCCAGACAGTCAACAGCCAGACAGCCAGTTAGTGGTACAGTAAGACAGTCAGACAGCCAGACAGTCAACAGTCAGACAGCCAGTCAGTCGTACAGTAAGACAGTAAGACAGCCAGACAGTCAGACAGCCAGACAGTCAACAGCCAGTCAGTCAGTCCCTCTCCATCTGTCTGCCTGGCTGTACAGGTCTAGGGCTCTGTCAGTACCTCTCTGACGTTGGGCAGCTCCAGGATGTCGGAGAAGACGTAGAGCCCGGGCGTCTCCAGGAGGGAGGAGAGCGCCTCCGCCAGCGCGGCGCCCGAGAGGGTCAGGAGCTGATCCACCGACACCTGTCGCACCTCCGACATCTGACCGGGAGCAGGAGAGCAGTAAAGACTCGGTGACTGACAGCACGAACACGGAGCCGAGGAATAGAGGATGAAAGATAATAAGATAACAATAATAACTCATTACACTTCTATAGCTCTGTTCTGGACACTCCACTCAAAGCTCTTTACAGGTCATGGGGATCCCCTCCACCCCCAGTGTGCAGCCCCCACCTGGATGATGCTCCAGTCCTCTCCCCACACACCAGCTCTCAGTGGGGAGGAGAGCAGAGTGATGAAGCCAGTTCAGAGAGGGGGATTATTAGGAGGCCATGACTGGTAAAAGCCAGGGGGAAATTTGGCCAGGACACTGGGGTAACACCCCTACTCTTTTTGAGAAACACCCTGGGATTTTCAATGATCACAGAGAGTCAGGACCTCGGTTTTGTGTCTCATCTGAAGGACGGCGCCTTTTTACACTATATTTTACGCTATACTGGGGCATTAGAACCCACACCGACTGCAAGGTGAGCGCCCTCTACTGGTCCCACTAACACCTCTTCCAGCAGCAGCCTTAGCTTTCCCAGGAGTCTCCCATCCAGGCTCACACCTGCTGAGCTCCAGTGAGCTGCCAGCGGTGAGTTGCTGGTTAATGTATCTGCAGGCTGTGAGAAACGAGAAAGGCTACCACCAACGGGCTGATGTACTGGAATGTAGGATGATGCACTGGAGCTACAGTGTACACCCTATAAAGCTTTTCACCTATGTATGCACTGTAGAAACAGCGAGCTCAAGGGAGGTTACTTAAACACACTGACTAGACACAAGAAAACACTCGAGCGAGAGAGATAGGAAATTAATATAATCATAAAGAGGATGCACAGTGCGTTCACAGTGTAATGAGAAAGACCATCGTTGTTCTGGACCGAAATACATCCCATAAAATGCACACACATATATATATAGCCATTTGATTTTAAAACGTTCAATAATAAACCGATTAAAAAGCGGAGCCAAATACTGCCCTCTCATCATCAGTTACTTTTCGTAAGCAGTGCTACCCAACTAAACCGTCTTCGTTTCGCTTTCTTGCAAACCGGCGCAAAAATCAACCTGAGCCCGAGGCTTCCGGGACCTCGTTAGGCCTCAACTGCTTTTCTAACGCACGCACACCCAGAAAAGGTGGCAATGTGTTTCTGAGAGGAGATACGAGAGTGCGCTTTGCTAATTCTTTCATTAGGGCTGCTGTTTCACTCAATTACCTTGAAATCGCGTCACTTTTCAACCCGGAATCCAGATCTCGGCAGCCGCACGCACGCAGTAGCCTTTTCTGTAACAACAACTCGCCGGCGCCTTCCATTGGAGGAGGCGAGAGGGAGGCGGGCCATTGTGTCTGGTTCGAGAATGGGATTGGTTTTGATCCTTTGGGGGGGCGGAGAGACAGCCCATCCCTCTCTCCTGATTGGACAACAGCCCGTTTCTGTTTCGGCGAGAGAGTCGCCGGGAGGCGTATCTGACATTCACCCCAAAATGCTTCCTCACATCCTAAAGTTCCGCGACGTCCTCTGTCTCTGCTTCCAGAACGCTTTTTTAAAAAAATATTTTGATAAAATGCAGACTCGTAACAAGCTTATGATTAATTTATTAGTACTCTAAAAACGATGCCTCCGGCTGTTCTTTCAGTGACACCAGACGTGACGATGCATTCACACGTGGAGTGATGCTGTCTGACCAGGGCTCCCCTTACACCCCAGGAAAAAAGTGGTAAGATTTGCCCAGGTCTCCAGCCGCCGCCTCGGTTTTGGACTGTAACTGGAAGGTTGCGGGTTGAAATCCCACTCTGTACGCGGGCTGCTCTAGTGTAAATGTGTAGAATGAATGGAAATGAAGGGGGTGTCTCTCTCTCTCTCTGTACCACCATAGTGGATCACCGGGCTCCATGACATTCATAAAATAGTGACTTAGCCGTTCAAATTTCAGTGCACACACGTCCCAGACACTGATGCTCTTTTTTTAAGAAGAGCGCAGCTAGAGACGGGGACGAGAACGCGAAAAACAAACCGAGTTTAAGGCTTTAGTAGAATAGTTATTGTAGGCAGATTATGGTGCTACTTTTTCAGAATTTCTAGAACTGAAAAAAAAAACGTAGTAGCCCCCGTGAACCGCTTAGGTGCTCATACCACTCAGTTAATTTAATTTACGGTCTGTTCATTCAGCTAGCACCACGGAGAAACGTGCCGGTTAGACTAAATGTCGATTCCTTCTCCCCTACTGCACCCTTCTGGTAATACGGGGGACAAGGGCATCTCCCAAGCCTTACAGCAGGAGTCTGGGCTCCAGCCTGGCTGTCGGTGATTAAATTACACCCGTATTGTAAAATAAATAAATCTATGCCACATGATCACTGTGTTCACTGGCGATCCGGGTTCGAATCCTTGGCTCTCCACAGCGTAGACAATGTTGTATAAAAGCCCCAAAACAACAAATGAGAAGAGAAACTACTTTGGCAGCAGCCTTATCGCCCTACAGCTCCCAGCTGGCAGCCCTACTGGAGCTCAGCAGGTGTGAGCCTGGCCAGTACCTGGAGGGGAGACTCCTGGGAGAGCTGAGGCTGCTGCTGGAAGAGGTGTTAATGGGGCCACTAGGGGGCACTCACCCTGTGGTCTGTGGGGGTCCTGATGCCCCAGTAGAGTGACAGGGACACTATACTGTAAAAAGGCGCCATCCTTTGGATGAGATCCTGACTCTCTGGGGGTCAGGAAAGATCCTAGGCGTTTCTTGAAAAGAGTAGGGGTGTTACCCCAGTGTCCTGGGGAAATTTCCCCCTGGCCTTTACCAGTCATGGCCTCCTTATAATCCCCCCCTCTGAACTGGCTTCATTACTCTTCTCTCCTCCCCCCTGAGAGCCGGTGTGTGGGGAGAGGACTGGAGCATCATCCAGGTGGGGCTGCACACTATGTAGGGGGGGGAGGGGATCCCCATGACCTGTGAAGAGCTTTGAGAGGAGTCTCCAGAAACATGTTGTATAAGAAAGTATTATAATTGTAACCTATGTGACATTGTGGTGCCTTGTAGAAAATAATGTGAGTTCCAGGCTCCTGTTGCAACCATCCTGACTAGAGCTGGATTTGTGCAGTATGGAGATTTGTGCAGCTCAGCAGCAAGTGGTAGCAGATTGGACCCTTCAGAATATACACTACCCCCCCAAGAGAACAGGAATCAACACCGGGTTCCGATCAAACCGTTTGTTTAATAATCCCTTTTCCAGCCAACGGCTCCCCCAGGCCGTGAGCCAGGCTGGCTGCGAGGAACACAGAACGCAAGAGCTTGAAGTTCAGGGTGACAGTGCTTGGCAGACAAGGAACATTACAACACTTGGATTACAGATGGGTACCAATTCCTGACTAAATTACGGGCTTTCAAGACTTTATGCACATCACACTACACCAGCACTACACACATCATCCAAGACAATCACAAAAGCATACACTTGTGGTTGTCTAGAACCCATGTCGAGTATACTGTCCCCAAGTGCTTGATGACGTATGCAGTGTCTGTGCAGCATGCCCATCTATGCAGTGCTATAGGGCTGAACACATGGAGGAAGTGACATCACAGGGGTGGGGCTTGTAAGTGCAAAAGGGGGGCGGGGTCCACCATCCCCGGCTGTGACCTCATCACTGCCTCCCCTCACTGGCGCGCGTTGATGATCTCGACGAACTCGGGCTTCAGGGAGGCGCCGCCGACCAGGAAGCCGTCAACGTCGGCCTGCGAGGCCAGCTCCTTGCAGGTCCCCCCGGTAACGGAGCCTGGCGCGAAAGGGAGTCCATTGAGAGGAGGAAACAGCACTTTGGGAAACACCGAACGAACACAACCTAGAGCACCAAGAACTTTAGAAAGCCTGCTAGAAATCTCACACAATCCAGTGGAAACATGCAAACTCCACACAGACAGCACCCCAGGAACTGAACCCAGGGCCCCAGCACTGCGAGACGGCAATTATCACTGTGCAAACCCTTACATACATTAACCTGGAGCTAACCGACATATCCTTAGTAGAAGATGGAGATATTTACATCTACAGTCCTTTACAGATGACTTAATCAAATCCACCCCCCATGATAAAGCTAAGCCCACAAATCCCTCGTTTTAGAGCCAATTCCGCTGTAAATCCATTTTGCAGGGCTGCATTTACACCATTAAACCACACACGACCGGTTGCTGGAAAACCAACGGGGGAGGGGAAAATCGAACAAGCTTGGGGTGAAGGACTAATGTACGTCCACACTGGAGGAGACGTGCAGGACGAGGAGTCTCACCTCCGTAAATGATCCGGCAGGAGCTGGCTACCGCCTCCGAGACGTTGGTCTTCAGCCACTGCCTGAGCTTATCGTGAACTTCCTGGGCCTATGCCGGGGGGGGGGAGGGGGGTGGAGAACGAATGGAAGAATAGTTAGAAAACAAGAAGGGTCAAATGCCTCCCCCAGTCTGCTTTCCCAGAAGCCGGGGTGGGGACTTCAGTAACATGGGCAGGGTTGCTCGTTGCCTACCCCCACCACCCTTTGTGTAAAGGGCCTCCTAAGTAGAGGGCTTAAGGAAGTTGCTAGCTCAGCCGGGAGCAGGGAGAAGCTGTTAAAACTGGTCTGAATACGTCAATGGCCTCATTCAGGTTGATAAAAGCCCAGCCGGACAGAAAACCTGGAAACAGGCTGGCTCTCCGACACTGGGAGGCCCTGCATTAACCAGACAATGGGGGTAGATCAGGCATCTTCAACTGCTCCCAAGGATGCGAGCTGGAGACCAGCCTGTGCACGCGGTGTTGAGTTCAGTCCACACTAGCCCCTTTGAATACAGAACTTCCTCTGCTAGGAAGAGCCCAAAACATCACTGCACACGGGCCTGAGGGTTCATCCCAAAACCACAGAAAACCCAGCCAAGCAGTTGCCTTGCAGGATTAGTGTTGCTCTGCAGCCCCTGAAGAGGGGAACCCCCCCCCCGAATTGCAGCTGCGCTTGGGTGACACAGCGGCCATTCTGCACAGCAGATCAAGAGCAGGAGAGAGAAATGCCTCATGCTGAATTGAGGAGGAGCCCTCGTGAGGCCAAGTATGGGATTTAACAGCTCTGGTCTTACAGGAGCTCTGGTCTTATAGGAGCCGCTGTCCATTCGATAGAAATACATGAGCCTTACAACGTTAAACGCTTACGGAGGGTCGAGCAGTCGACATCAGCAATGTTACCTGTTGGGGGGTTGCGGTTTTCCCAGTTCCAATGGCCCAGACAGGCTCATAGGCCAGGACCACCTTACTCCAGTCCTTCACGTTGTCTGCAAAGACACACAGCTTAGTAGAAGCCCTCGGGCAAGGACTACAGTTCCCATCAGCCACTGGGGGGTGTAGTTCCACATCCCCCATGCACTAGCGTCAAGCCGACATCAACCGATTTTGTGAGATCGCCCCGAGTTTATTAGAGGATGCAGATGATTCTAGTAAGGATAAAAACACCCAACAGGTTTACTTCCATCGCTAATCCTCCATCATCATAAATCAGGTGGAGTTTATTTTTCACAGCATTTCAAAAAATGCTTTGCCTTTCAGGACATGCAAGTTCACCACATTTATATATTTATGTACTCCTTTGCCCCTTTTACATGGTTTATAAAGCACTTTCTTACTTCCGATGTGGTCTTTAACGTTTACACTAAGTCACTAAAGCTAGAATTTGCCCAAATCTTGAGTCTTGGGTATTGGGTATTGGTTGGGTGGTCATGCTTTGGGAAGAGCAAAATTATCCCTAAAACAATCCAGATCCAACAAACTCAGCACCAGCCTCAATCCCCACAGTCTTTCCCAAAAACTGTAAGCCATAATGCGACTGTGCAGATCCATTATTCAGGCTAGATCCCAGACGTCCGAAATTCTTATTGATCTGATCTTCCCAAGTCGGCACTTTACAAGCTAGGCTGAGAAGCGATTGATCACAAGATTCCCCAGTTTATAGGTGGAAAGTCAAAGTCTTCCAGTCAGGCAGCCATCACCTGCTACACCCCTTCCTGATCTCATCTCAAGAGGTTTGTACAACCTAATGTAACCCAGGCACCTCAGGGCTGTCCACTCCCGTTCCTGGAGGGCCAGTACATCTGCAAATATTTCGTTTCTCTTTAAAGAGCTGGGAGCAGCTGCTAAATGCTCACTTGGTCCCATGAAGTCAATACGGTCCCAAGCGAGCTGGGCAAGAGCCAAGCTGGACTGAAAACCTGCACTGGCCCTACAGGATCAGGAGTGCCCTCTCCCGCTGTCCTTACTTGTGGGTTCCGATACATAAACCAACATACTCTTCAGTCCTGCCCATCATAGTCCATGAACCATGTTTTAAGTTACTCCTATAAAGTGACACAAGCAAGCTGCATTTCTCCCACTGCGCCAGCAATGAGGTTAAGAGCAGTCTTTCTGGTCTGGGAGAACCATCTTTTAGTGGCGTTGTTACTGGCATTGTGCTTGCCCATTAGTGTTTGGTTTGAACCCAAGATATCATCATTTATTAATGGTAACCAAGAATTTGCAGCATCATCAACATTGATCTTATTTGTCATTGATTTACAGGGATGACCGATTTGGTCTTGAACAATCCAATACTGGCCAAGACCTTTGTCTGCCTTCACTACAGCAGTAGCGCCATCAAGGTAAGACATCTGCACCAGTGACACCTTGTCCATCAAGGCAGTAGCATTACCTGCAATGACCTTGGTCTGGGCGAAGACGACTTTATCAGTTATCCCCGCCTCTCGCTCGTCCAGCTTCTCCCCGATGCAGGCAATCACGCCAAGCCCCTCCTCCAGCGCATGGGCCACTTTCTGGCCAATCAGCTGCCGGGACGACCCAGTCAGAAGGAGGGACACGGTGCCGGCGCAGCCAGTCACGATGAGGGAGAGACAGAAGACATCCAATTAGAACGCAGCAGCGTCCTAACATGAACATAGCAGCTAAAGGCATGCACCTTTTCCCTCTTCTCAAAGAAGAAGGCTGACGAGACAAATCAGAAACCCAACAGCCACCGAAAGCCCATCAGTACGGAGAGCAAAATCTCACGGCCAATCGGAGTAAGAGAGGGAGGAAAGTCAATAAGGTAAAAGCAAAGGAAATCAGAATCCTAGATGAAGAGCCTCACCTCATCAGACTCGCCAAAAACATGGCGCCTCTCAGAGTGGCCAAGAATCACCCAGGACACCCCACAGTCCTTGATCATGGCGGGACTGAGAGGAGATGAGAGAGAGAGATTAATCCATGACCCTCAAGCAAGAGACAGAACAAAGATCTCACAAACCCACTACAGACCCTATAACATCACCCACCACCCAACCAATAATGGTACCTGATCTCTCCGGTGAAAGCACCCTTCGCGACTTTGTAGCAGTTCTGGGCGGCGACGGCGATCTTGGCATCGAGCTTCTGGCGGGCAAAGTCCAGGTAGATGGAGGGAGCGCCACACACCACCTCTGCAAGAGAGACTCCAATCAGCACCCCCTCAGAGAGCAGGGAAGAGTCTGGCTTAAGCACCGAGGCGAAAAATCCAGCACCTACATCACCTCAAGCCTACTGGGGCAGCATTAAATATAAAAGGCCTGTTTTAGGATGGAAAGCAACGCATAAGGATTCATTCCTATGCTGGAAAAATAACGCATCACCCAGCAAAGATTAATTCCTGCTTTCCATTCCCCAGCCCCAAGGAATTCACCTATACTTGCTCCTTAGCAGCAGACTTGCACCGTTTGAGCAGGGAGCCACATCGGTGTTAAAGTACAGATTCAAAGAAACATTTAAATCAAGGGCTGTTCAAATCTTACAATGCACTCCTAACAGGAGGCATTTCAGTCAACACTCTATGAGAAGATACTGCAGCTCTGAAATAATCATTACAGGGAACCAGACACATTCCACGATGTGGGAAGGGAGTGTCCCACACTGATAGGCTGGAGGAACCGAGTCTCTTTAGTGCAAAGGGAGTGTCCCACACTGACAGGCTGGAGGAACTGGACATCTTTAGTCTTGAACAGAGAGGACTACAGGGGGACCCGAAACAAGTACCCAAAATTATCCAAGGCACTAACAGTCACACAAGTGACTCACAGCTTAGAATAAGAACAAAACTGTGCACGCACTTTTAATAAACCCTGTTGTGGTGGTGGAGAATCCCCGTCACCTGGAAAGTGCTTTGAGTGGAGTGTCCAGAAAAGTGCTATATAAAGTATAAGGAATTATTTTTGAAAGTGCATATAATGCATTTCCCCCCGACAGGTCTGAATGCACACGCAGCTCTTTCTGAATGAGAATCCAACGCATACTGTACCTACATTAGACACTCGCATCTCTCCAATTCTACAGTGCGTGTACGGTCATCCCCTGACATTCAGGACTGTAACTCTATCCCAGTTCACCGTCTCTATATTTATCTCTCCAGAATTCAGACAGAGCCAGTGGAGATCGCAGCTCCCGGCTCCCGGCTGCTTCACAAAGGTCAGAGGTCAGCCCCGAAAGGTCACCAGCTGTGCGGTATAAAAACTCGGGAAAGGTCAGAGTCTGAGGAGAACCAGAGCACACTGTAGGGTCTCGCCAGAACCCGGACTCGGCCTCACTGAACTGCACTGCATCAGCCCGCTCTGCACTCAAATAACGGCAGAGTTTCGCAACCTGTACAAAGTCCATAACTGTTTGTGTCTCGTCAGGGGCTGTCAGCATGGAAACGTCACAGGACTAAGCTGTGGTCAGGATAGACCATGACCAAGAGGGTGACTAATTAACCCTATGTACCTCCATCAGCCTAGATACAGTCGTCTTGTGTCTATATCTCCAGCCAGGCCTATTTGTAACAGGAGGCTGATGGAGAACAAGCAGTCATGAGTGTGTCATTGTGAAACAGGCAACAGCTCAGCCCATCGTGAAGAAGATCTTAGGAGAGGAAGTTAATCTAAAATCTCATCCAGCCTTCTCTTGAAAGAAACCAGAGGTATCGGCTTCCACAGCATGGCTGGGCACCTTTTTCCCCTCTCCCGCCACCCTTTGTGTAAAGCAGCCCCCCCTTCTCAGTTTTAAATGCACTGGCAGTTTGCACTTGTGTCCTCCGCTTCAGGTCTCAATTCTCATTCTGAACACGTGGGTCGACTTGGTCAGAGTCGGAGAATTTGGGATACTTGGATGGGATCTGTATGTGCGAGGAAAGCTCGTTTAGACGGGAGACTTCAGGCCCCGCGGGCTCAAGAGGGAGGGCTCAGTCTTTTACCAACACACCCGAGATCTTAACTGGTGCAATCGTGGATTTTTTAGGTCAGCTCCACCACAATCACTAGACAACTGGGAACTATTTGCTCGGCGGGTGTCTTGATCCGGGCAAACGGAGAACATGCTTCTATAGGTATGGTACTGGGCAAGCGCTTACACAATGACATCTAACATAGGCGGATCACGACATTTTTACCAGTTTCCCCTAGGGGACAAAGCTTGAATAGAATTGACTTGACAGCAAATGCTTTTCGCAACCCTCCAGAGGGAGCGACGTGAACCGGAAAGAAACGCCGGCGTGCCCTCCCGGGCTGCCTCAGAACAACGGTTTCTATTGAAACGCGTTTATCACGACCGCTGCGCCGTCCTGACGGCCTGTAACCCCAGTACAGCCCCGCACCAACACGCTGGATGTGACTGCACGGATGGGGGGGGATAAAAAGATACCGTCCGCGTCGCAGACTCAGACGCTGGCCTTGCGCGACCGCCGGCTGCTACGTGCGCCGGGGCACACGCTCCAGCTCCGGGCCCTGGCGCTCGCCCCCGCGGGCCGGGAGCGCGCCGCAGGGGTTCCACCGGGACGGACTCACCCACCCCGGCCACACGCCGGGACGGTCCTGGAGCTATGGAACTATAACTCCGGGATTATCACCTTCTTAAAAAAACCCGGCTGGCGGTCAATAAAAAGACACCGCTCCCCTCTCACCGCTCTCTTAACTGTCGAAAGCTCCATCGTGCTCAATGCTCAGTGATGCCCGCCTCATTTCAGGTGGGCATCCAAGCACTGCTCGCCTGTACACAACTCTTCGTTAGATCCATTCATTGAAAGTGTCAGGTCTCGGCTGGCGGTCGTAATGGCAATGCGTCTGTCCGGCGATGACTGCCTTAGGGGTTACTTCCAAACGGTATTCATAGCAATCGCAGCTGTGGTTAATAACTGATCGTTACTTAAAACCTAACCCGTCTGGATGGAGGGAAAAGCCACTAATTTCACTGTGGAAACTCACCCTGTCGTTTTGACCTTATTAACCATGATCGATTCTATACACCATGTCCTCTATCTAGGGTAGGAGACGGGTGACGGATTTTCTATAGTCCCAGTAAATGAAATGAATAATGCGACGACAAAATAACGCTTAAATAACCCTATGTAATCACCAAGATTCGCTGCACTTTAAAAATAGTGGCGTTTTTTTCCCGCGTTGACTCACCGGTGTCTGGGTTCAGTTTAGCAGTGTTCAGGGTGTTGATAAGATCTCCCAACACTTTTTTGTCCCCGTTCATCTTCCAGTTGCCACCCACGAAAAATTTTCTGGTCGGAGCCATGGTTCTTGGGATAGGATCGGAAAGAGGCCTCGCTGTGGAGCTGGTGGAGAAGCGGGCAGATAATTCACCAAGGTCGGATGAATCAACGAGCGAGTGCCCCTCTCCTGGAAGAGGGCCTTATAAACACGCCTGCCTGAGGACACGCCCTCCGGAGATGCTCATTGGTTTCAGGGAGAAAGCGCCTTATGCGCCCTGCCCATTTTATCCTTTTATGGATTAAAGGCGGGACATCACGAGGGCAGATCTGAGGGATCCTACGTTGATTGGCTACTTCCGAGAGCGGGGTTTATTCTTTACAGGAAAATCTCCGGCGAAGAACTTGACCCGTTTCCGCCCACAACCACCTTCCTTTATTTCTCTATAGAGTGAAGCCTTTAACCGCCATCTTTCAGAAGGGCACAGAGGTTTTTTTTTATCCCAACGATATCGGACACGTCAAAGCGACAAAGAACTCTTAACTCAGAATGATCTCACGGTAAGTGAGTTCCAGTTGCCTCAAGACTTGGCTGTTGAATTTATTCCTCAGCTCCGAACTAAAATGTTCTGAATTGCAACGACACCACAGTATCCGCGGATGTCCTGTAGAGGACACCAAAGTACAGTGTAGACTTACTCTCGCCCTTGTCCAGCAAGAATTTCAGTCCCTTACCAAGTAGAACAGCGAATCGTTATGTAATAATTGTAACCTTCTTGTAATACTTTCCTAAATGACATTCCAACTACGGTATAATAGGCGTACATCTCATATACTAATAATGGTGTTGTCAGTTTTACATGAGGTAATTCGCGCCGATTCTGTAATATGATAACTCACTATTAAGTATATAGTTCTGTATTAACATCTATATGACTATATTTCAGTTTCAAGAGAGCCGGAAACAATTAAATAAACAACAAATAAAATGCTTTATACGGAAATAAATGGAATTTGGCTTTTAAGCGTCTTCTGTTAGACCCGGTATTTCTTGAGTCCATTTGTTCTTGGTGTTGTGAGGGACTCCACGCAGGCGTTTCTCATGGGGGAGTGAGGGTTGTTGAGTAATATGGGCATTGTGGGTGAACGCGTTACTTCAAATAGTAACATGTTGGGGTGTATTCAGGCAAGTGCTCTTATCAGCGTCTTTCTTCGAGACAAGCGATGAGTGAAGAGCGTCTTGCAAGAGTCGCCTGTTTGTACATTTTTGAATCCCTTGATTTTAGGACTCCCGTGTTAGATCGCACCCGCACAATTTCCTTAAAATTCGATTTCAGTCGCTGTTGTCAAAACACCCACATCTTTCGTGCTACAGCTGCGCTGAATCTGAGGTTATGATCTCACACCATCAACTGTACTTGTACAGTCATCGGTTGCATTGCTTAATACTTAGGTACAGTATTGCTCCCCTGCAGTCATTTGTTAAATCGTTTAGTGGAGGATTTTATTAACACCGATTGACGTATTGCAGGCTCCAAACTACACCATTTCGAAAACTACTGAATTATTACTACAGCTACAATATGTACAGAGGGTACTGCTTAGACGTAACTGTCATGAATATATTACCGGTCTTTGCCCATAAGTGCTCAATTTCGGGAAGTTGGAGTGTTAAAAAAAAACATGTAGAGGGTCACCTTTATCTAACGGCGGTAATCTGCAACCATAAATGAGAAAATACTCCCATTTATAGCGCACACGTCAAGAGAGGGCATTACAAGTATGAATTGTCACTGTGCTCACTCGAGCTTTCTGAAGTGCCATTACCTTCCCGCATCATTTCACTGTCTCTTTCCTCAGACCCTGCCCTGATTTATTTATTCCTGTTCTCATTTCACGCATTTCAAACTTTAGATGCCCGTATAAAGTATACATATATTAGAAATGCCTCTGTCGATTGCAGCGAGCTAAGCAGTTTGTCCTGTCCTGGCGACCGGATACAATCGTAAACCACGCCCCCCTCAGACATCATGAGCGTGGAGGGGGACGGGACGATGGAGGTCTGCGTCTATCCCACCTGTCTCTAGGTTTATTCTAGTTATTTCTGAACTCTATGGTTGGTTACGGTTTTATTCTTTTGCTTTTTTAATATAGTGTTTTCAAAGCACCAAATGAACAAAGATAAAAAATACTTAGAGAAGAACAGTGCAACACTACATAAACAAGAAAAACAAAATGTAAGCAAAACTAATTTAACAAAAATACAATTCTGAAACCTTCACGAGAGATGATTGCAATGTTGCAATTGTACTTAACGGAGTTAAAGAGGTGTTTGAATTGCATGCAGTGTTCTCGTTTAAGAATGATAATATGATTCATAAAACGAAGCACGCATTTGAAATAACATTACTTTATAAACGTCTCTGTACACATTATAGATAATACACACGCTGACATGGATTTTGTTTAATTTATTCATTTAGATGAATGTGTTATCTTTTCAAACTCGTATACTGACGACCGCTGGCCTCTGGCGGTGAATCTTGCTAAGTGCAAGGGCGTTGAATTTGTATTAAACAAGACACCGAGCCGTTTCAAAAACCAGTTTTCCTTTAATTTTTAATTTTTCTGCTATCCGGCGCTTAGTTCGTTTTTTCGAGGTGGCGGTATTAATTGTCTTCTGCAAAAAAAAATATCCTTTAGGCAGTATAGTATGAGACAACTAATCCGGAGCTTTCTGATTGGGCCGTCTTGGATTCCTAATTTGCATACGACACTGCGAGACAGAAAAGGTCTATTTTCTGTCATTTACCGTTAGACCTAAGCTACACATTTAAAAAAAAACTAAGAAAACCGTTTGTCAGTTTTGAATGTTTGCGAGGCAGCACATACAATAATGAAACGTAAACCAATTGTATTGTTTCGTCCTTAAAATATTTTTCCACACCCTGGACCGGCGTACTCTGTGATATATAGTGTCGTTATGTTGCGACGCTGAAGAGGAATGGAATTTTTGCTCTTTTAGTATTTGTCTAGCAGGTTTCCTTATTAAGGAAGCCCCCCGAGATTGTTAAAAAGCAGATTTGTAAGTAGGCGAGTTTTTAATTAAATATACTTTTAATAAAATTAATTGATTATGTTCTTCTAAAGTAGTTTATTTTCTTGAGACATCGGGGTATTTGAGTATGATGCCATTAAAAGACCAAGCGATATTTTAAGCGCGGAAATTCTGTTTGTTTTAGATCTAGCTGTTAAATTGACAACACCTGCAACAGGTTGGCAATATCAACAGAGCTAAAGGAACAACGAGTTTGTATGAGCCCGTTCAGATTTTTGCTGGACCGTGTTGCTGGGCAGCCTCTCACTGTACCAGGGTGGAAAAAAAAACGTATTCCAATTACAATAAAAATCATGATTCTTACATTTATATAGCGCTTTTCTGGCAAACCCCACAAAGCACTGTATAGGTAATGGGGATCCCCTCCACCCCCACCAGTGTGCAGCCCCACCTGGATGATGTAAGGTTTAAGAAAACCTTGCATAAATAAGATTAAACCTTGTTGACACCTTTTTGGAAACCTCTTTCCCGGCGACTCCTTGGTAATACAGGGAGTTTGTGTGATGTTAAGGACTTTTTTTTTGCTGCGCAACGTGTCACCCAGCAGAAGCCCTGTGCAGCGTGCCGTGGCCTGGACGAAGAAATAAAAGCAGCTTACCGCTGGGAGAAGGAGTACGTCCACATCTTTGGCCAGCTGCACAAACGGACTGCCTTGTTTGCCAGATCTCAGAAGCATAGCAAGGCCAGGCCTGGTCAGTACGGGGACGTGAGGCCCTGCATCCATTCTTTTTCTGAGTGCTTTTTCCAATTCAGGGTCACGGAGGACCCAGAACCTATCCCAGCAAGCAATGGGCACATGGCAGGCTACACCCTGGATGGGACACCAGTCCATTAGAGGACAGGGATGGGAGACCTTCAAGGACAACCAGGTTGGTGCTGAAAGTGATATTGATTGACCAGTAGGTGGTGCTCATCTATCTGGGAGTAGGGTAACTGTCCTGTACAGTAACTGTAGCAGTGTGCATGCTGAACTGGTGTTCTGACCATCAGGGTGTTGACGAGCCTACAGGATGGAAAAGGAGGAGTCTTTTGTGTCCTGGCTAAGTCCCAGTCTAGGCTTGTAAATGTGTCCCTTTGGGATACAGAGTGCTATGCAAGTCAGGGCAATTTTGTTTTTAATTAATTTTATTATTAATCCCTGGTGTTACAGCATTTTACGTGGTCTACATAAGCTTTTGTGCAATTGTGGAAAATCTCTGATGTTGAAGAGTCACACACATTTTCTTGCTGTGTGTCGGAACAGCTCAGGGGTACCTCAAGTTAGAGGAGAAGCTGCTCCTTACTATGTGAAGAAATGTGCAATATTAGAATTAACCCAAGGAGTCTCCAAACTGTTTATTTATATGAAAACAGCAAACTACAGAGCAGTGCAGTCACACAAGGAAAGCAAACAGCACAGTTTTAATCTAATGAGTGAACCGTACATAGGATGGCAAAGACAACCGTTGAGTCAATGATTTAAGGAAATGAGAAACATGTTTTGAAAGGGCCCAGTTGAGAAAATGTGGGCGAAATAGCAAAGACAAAGTAAAAAAAAACATACCAACAATTATCCCAAAAGGTTATCTTTAAACACATTATTTTATATAGTTTTAATACACGTTTATCCATTTACTTTAATCTGATATGTTTCAGATGCGTCACAGAGCGTGAACAAAATGAAAAGCTCTCAGTCTGGAAAAAGGTGTGCTCACAAACCCTGGGGGAAGGATTTTGCCGTTAATGATAAAAACACACGGAGTAAAAAAAAAGATGGGTTGGCGTGAAATGTCTTTTTCTGAACTCTCTGACAAATCCAAACTTTCACCCCAAATATCCTCTCAGTCCCCGTCTGCCACAGTAACTGCTCATCCTCCGTTTTGAGGATACAGGAGAAAGCTGGGTGGAAGAGCATTTCAAAAGCCAGAGCAGGAGTCAACCAAGAGTGGTGGGAGTGTGGAACAAGCTCATCCCTCCATCCATTTTCTCCAGCCACTTCATCCAGTTCAGGGCTGTGGGGGAGCCAGAGCCTATCTCAGTAAGCAACAGGTGCAAGTTAGGGTACTCTCTGGACTCTGGATAGGATGCT